TAGTCAGCCAATCACTTATGACCCATTGTGCACAGTAAACACAGCCATATTGGATTTATGCCAAATGGGGCATTTATGATTGGCTGCATCTGCTCCCCACTACTTTTAGGCTACTGCGCATCCACGGGAACGACTCACCCTTGTATATTTCCACCATGGTTGTAACTGCGTCTTGAATATAAGAACCGACTTATGAATACCGGCCTATGAATACCGGCCCATATGTGGACTACCCCCACTTTTCCAATTTGCACTCTAGTACTACATCTCTTATGACAGGAACTTAGTTTTTATATCTTACAATTCAGTATAAATCATATTCTAAGATTCTAAGTATACATTAAATATGCCGTGCTGGTACTATGAAAAAAAAGAACTTCGCAATACACCATCTATTCAAGATGGTATCGATTATGAGACGGAATGTAGATATAGAAAAGAAGGCGCACGTTTTATAATAGACACTGGTACAAAAATGGATTTAGGTTATAACACGATGGCAACGGGTGTTGTTTATTTTCATCGATTTTACATGTTTCATTCATTCAAAAATTTTCCGCGATATGTAAGTGCATTTTGTGTATACATACAACACATATAATGTATATATGTTTGCTTGTAATCAAATTAATTACATGTGTCAGTATTTGTGTGCATTAAAATAATCTGAGAATTACATTGTGACATATAGGTAACTGCTTGCTGCTGTTTACTCTTAGCTGGTAAAGTTGAAGAAACTCCAAAGAAATGTAAGGATATCATAAGGACTGCCAAAACCTTAGTGACGGAACAAAAGTTTGTAACATTCGGAGAAGATCCTAAAGTAAGGTTTGAAAATATTTCAATATTTGTACTAATGTATTAAGTTTGTTTTTTTTTTTTTAGGAAGAAGTTTTAATCTTGGAGAGAATTTTATTGCAAACTATTAAATTTGATCTACAAGTAGAACATCCATATAGTTATTTACTAAAATACGCAAAGTGTCTGAAAGGTAATTGAAAAATCGTAGTTTTTTCTATAGAATTGTATAAAATATTATTAGAGATGTTAAAAGTGTTTTAAACATTTCTGATGAAAGTTTTGTTCTATTTATAGGTGATAAAAACAAATTGCAAAAGATGGTTCAAATGGCTTGGACATTTGTTAATGATAGGTATATAAAATTATAAAGTAATAATATTAAAAATATTAATTGTATACATATATACATGTATAATACAACTGATATATGTCTTAATATTATTTTTTTCAGTTTATGTACCACTCTATCGCTACAGTGGGAGCCAGAGATCATAGCTGTTGCTCTAATGTATTTGGCAGGAAAACTAAGCAAATTTGAAGTGGTAGATTGGGTTGGAAGACAACCGAAACATTTACGCTGGTGGGATATGTTTGTTGAAGATGTAACTATGGATCTTTTAGAAGGTAATTTTATGCAGTTTCCATCTCAAAGTGTCTTTATCATTATCTGTTGTAACAGATCGGTAATAATAATAACTAATATGTCAAACGTACTTCTAGATATTTGCCATCAGGTATTAGATTTATATTCACAAGCTAATAATGCAAAACCACCAGATTCGCCACCTATGATACCATCCAGTGAAGTATGTAGGGAACGATCCATTACTACTACTACTGTTGAATCTGCATCTAATACACCAAATGGTAAGTAATAGTAACACAGTAATGTGGCAATCACAAATGTATCGTTTATAGCTTATTTTATTAAAGGTTATATTATAAGCATTAGATGTTATAGTGTAATAATAAATTACAGTTACACCTGGAAAATCCTCCAAGACCATGGAAGCATCAACTATTTCTGCAAACGGCTGTCCATCTATAGACGTCACAGATGCAATAAAACCGATAGATACTTCAACGGCACACTTTTCTTCATACTCGGCAAATTTTGCATCTAACAACACAAATTATCCACCGGCATTTCCACCTACAAATGTTTCGGTTCCTCCTCCTCCTGTGAATACAATGAATCATATCGTGCCAACGATACATCACATTGCATCATCTGCTGCTATTCGCCCTACACCACCGTCAGCACCGACTGCCAATCAAACTGCTTTTCAACCATATTCCTATCCGACAAACGCAACGTATTTTTCAGCAAATAATCCAATTCCACCGGCTGCGCCGCCACGTAACTATTATCCTCCGCAACCATAACGGAAACCAATGTATCGTGCGTCTAATGTAAGTTGCATCAGCGCCATTGTCTTAATTTAAGATAAACATTAGATTATCAAAGACATTATTAGTTTAAATTGTAAATTTTGAGTATGTATTGTATATTTGAGTGTGTATTGTATATTTGCGATGTTATCAAAGCATATAATTGTATAAACTCTTTTTTGTACTATAAACTAAACAAGTTTTTCTCTCTTTCTCTATATAATTATTAATATGACAAAACAAAGAGAATTAGTGTTTGATTTATATTTGATTGAGTCAGATATTAATCGATAGAAAAGATAATGAATTAGAACGTTTCACATGTAAAGATTGCCTTTACTAAAAGGATTTTCCAAAAATTTGGGTTGTTGTAATTCACAGCGTATTTCATCAGTTAAAACTTGTAAAATTGGTTCTGCACATTTGGAGTCTAACACAAAACTGTCGATATACAATATATATAACTTAGCTGGTTTGCCAGTGAATTCAGCATAGGACAAGACTGAAACAAGTAAAATAAACGATATCGGTTCCATTGATTTTTATATAATATTTTTTGTATTTAGTACATGCGTTTCTTGTATACTATATATGTATAAATACTAACCTCCTGCACCAACTCCAAATACAATATTTGGTTGTTCCAATGGTTCAATTCCATATTTTTTAACATTCATCGTTTTGGTAGTCAATATTTTTAAAAACGAAGCAGTCTCTGGGACGTTTGTACTCTGAAATTGTGACACATGACAACACAGTATTGAAACTATGCTCTCTGAACTTAGCAACAAGTCATGTATCTGTAAAGACAAAAAAAATACATATTTCTTTGATTTATAAATTATATGTTGAAAGATAGAGAAATGTTACAAGTATATCATTATAGTCATACCTGATTTACATATTTTCCTGCATTTTTTGTATCAAACAGTGGTAAAATTACACAAACATATATTTGCTTGTCAATTTGATAAATAACTGAAACTTTTTTATGATTTTCATCTTCTATGATACATGCTTCTTCCATTTTAGGACACAAACATTGTTCCACAAGTGCTAAAATAAAATAATTGGTATAATAATATCATATATTAACAAAAACATAAAAGATATAAAAAGAATATTAATATTACGAATTAACGGATCTCCTTCAATTATGATAAACTTTTGTATACATTTTGGTTTATCTTTCAACCAGCGAACAGATAACTTCCTACAATTTTAATTACTTTCAGATCATTTTATACATAATAATAATAAAGAATGAACGACAATCTGCTGACATCATAATTTTAACTCACAGAGAATGTTCTATATTATCAGTTGGTTCATATTCATCCTCGTCATCCCAAAATGCTCGTGATGATGGAAATATTACTTCTCCAAAGTGACTAACCATTTTTTAATTGAACGTTCTATGAAAATAAAGATAAATGTTAAATCATGGTTAACATTCTTTTAAATTATATGTCGATTCTATTCTTACAAACCGATTATTAATCGTATCAATCACTAATGTGGGATTACTGGGATTGGGACTGTTTTTTGTTTCTGCACTGTCAGAACTAGTAAATAAATATACGCTTGTTTCATTTTTTAACTTATTGCACCGTGTGCACTAGTTCAGTTCGGACAGTGCAGGAACAAAAAACAGACCCATTCACACTAGGCTGCGTTCAGGAATCACACCTAGATAACACTAGGCTATAGTGTACGTAACGTATATTATAGCAAAAATGCACCCAAGAGTTATCTGAGCATAATTCCTGAACGCTCCCCAACGTACGACATCCGATGTCATACATACGACGGTACGATATCCAATAGGAGAGCTTGTTTTCTAGAATATACGACAAGCATTTGTATGACAAAATATTGTTAGTATATATCTAGAAAACAAGCTCTCCTATTGGATATCGTACCGTCGTTGTACATACGCAGTGTGAATCCAATCTAGCAATAGTGATTAGTAAGATGAGTTCCAAAATTCATTGAAAAAGAAGTGCTGCAGTGCTGCTACCACATTCTAGTGCAATCAGTGCAGGAACAGACAACTAGTGGCTGCTAGTGGCGTCCTAGAGTATTTTTTACTTTGGTAGGGACTTTTGGACATCATCAATGATTTCGTGAAGTGGCTATCACTAAGTATCATAACCTTGTTCTGAATTCTGATTAACGCGACGATTAACACGATATATGTTGTTAATCATTCATCGGACATTTTGAAACAATCTCTTGTTTAATTTCGTTTCCATATACCACGTTGCGTACATCCAGTATTATCGATATCCAAGTGAGTGCCGTCCTTTTCCCGCCGGTTTCGTCGTTTGTGTTATTACCGTCGTCGCCGTCGTCGTCGTCGTCGCCGTCGTCGCCGTCGCCGTCGTCGTCGTCGCCGTCGCCGTCGCCGTCGTCGTCGTCGTCGTCGCCGTCGTCGTCGCCGTCGCCGTCGTCGCCGTCGTCGTCGTCGTCGTCGCCGTCGTCGTCGTCGTCGTCGTCGCCGTCGTCGCCGTCGTCGTCGTCATATTTTCATCATTATCATCATTGGAGCAATATTTTTACTGGAAAAAAAGGAAGGTTAGTTTCAACGATGGGAAACGTTCACACCTGCGGCCCGAATGAAGCTCTTGTAGTATCAGGTAAATGCTTTATTAACTTTCTGTGTATTATTAATATAATTTCGGGCACTGTGATATGATTTTTGGGTCACTGTGTTTCTTGGTGCATTGACAATATTATTGAACTATTGCTGGACAATAACAATTTATTAATGATTTCTTGATATAAAGCTTAAATCTATGCAGAGAATTTTCTTTGTAAAACTAAATATTAAATCACAAATGGTTTACTGCAAAATTGGACAATTATATTAATTAGATCATCAAACATAAAGTGATTTGTAACATTTTTGAAAGACAAGACAGTAGAAAACAAAAGAAATAACAAAAAGAAAACGGAAAAATTTATGCTGCTGTATTTTCCGAAAGAAATACATTACTTATTTAAATCAATATTCATTTAAAAAATTTATTTAAAATAATATTTATTTAAAAAGGAAAATGTTTTTCATAATATAAAAGATTTTTTATCTTAACTTTTTCTTATCAGTTATCTTGTTAAACGAGAAAATGAGACTATCTGATAAAATTATCTAGACTTGAAGCTGTGACTGAAAAATATCAAGAGCTTGTTATCTCTTCATGAATGCATGCTAATCGACTCTCTTTAACAGACATTATATTTACAAGTTATTATTAAGTTTCTTGTTAAGTTTTATATTATACTTCATAGATATTGATGGCTTTTAGATGTCTTATAAATCAAAGTTGTGTACTCATAATTTACTATTAGTAACAAACCAGTGGATTTAACTAGTTTATTTTATATTAACTAATATATCAATAGTTAACGTAACACTAGAGTAATAATAATGACATTGTGTCTAACAATAAGTAATGTAAAGGTTGTATTCTTTGCATTTAATGCATTATAGGTATTTGTACTTGATTCAACTACAGTCTTTTAACAGTAAGAATTCTATTACACAAAGTTTGACCAAATCTACAGTGCAATTCTATGATAATACTTTATAGACTGAAGTAAATAAAATAAGTTAGAAATTATATCAATATAACATATTAAGTATTAGATACAAACATATTAAATACTAACACACGGAACAATCTTTTAATGAAAATTACAATGTCAGTAAACTGCCATATTGATTGTAAGCTTGTAAACTAATCACATTAAGAGAATCATAAAGTTGTTTATATGATTCAGTAGAACTTACACACATGATTTATGTGTCATTGACATGTCACTACACACTACTGCGTTAATATTGCATGCACACATCTGTACAAATTTTCTAACTAATCATTTATATTAGATATCTAAGTCTAATTTTAAGACTAACACAACATTGTTCATGTAATTCCTGGTTTAAACCAAGATTGTTTTATACAAAATATAAAACTTGTAAAATATGAAGTAAATATTGTTGCGAGTCTATGTCAGAAGCCAATAACAAAAAACTGTTATTTTCTAACTTTTTTGATTTGTAACATAAAGTTGACTAGTTTAGACTATATTATCTCTTATACTTTAATTGTGGAAAAAGATATTTAAATTTGTAAAAACAGTTAGAAAAAATACTTATTTGAAACATAACTCCATTCGACAAAATTTAACCTTTTTCTCCTGTAACAATCATGACTAGTGTTTTTCAGTAAATTCAAGGATACTGAATCAAAATCCGCTATCCAAAGATGACCATTATGTAAGGTTATTGAGATAAATGTCAAATTGAATAATATGAGACAAAACATTTATCATTTTTATGGTCAAACTTTTGTTAATGTTACATAAAAACTAATCTTCATCTCTTTAAATAGAATTATCATTTTTTACTGTACGATTTATTTTTTATTGAGGTATGAACATTTTCTAAAATATATTGTAAAATGTCGAATTTAAATTGACAGATTGAAGCAAGAAAGTAGTTTTCGCATTTTGATCCTCCATGTAATAGATTCACTATTTTATTGAAATTTTCATAACTTGAGTGTGATGAAAAAAATTATACATAAAAACTAAAAACTTCTTTCAAAGATAAAGAATAGCTCTTTAAAGTGGTATTAATTAAATTGAGACAAATAAATCTTTATTTGGCAACAAATAATGATAAATATGACAAAAAAAGCTTCTTTATTCATTCTATTTATCTTGAAAACCTGATGGATATTTTTCATTGATGAATTTGCATTCAGCGACCATAAATTTACTGAGATATTGTTGTACTGTGTAATTGGTAAAACAAACGGACTGTAGGATTTTAATGGTTAAACCGAAAATAACTCAATTGTTAGCTATAACGACATGGCGTAACAATACTTGCCGTTTAGAGTTATAAACAATGAGGTAATATAAAATCAATTTATTAGCCATAATTAGGAAAATAGATACGTTTCTCAAATATTAACGTACAAGTGATATGATATTCTTCAAAATGACATTTAATTTCTTTTATAATGAAATAACATTTCATCTTTATAATATTACCCGATATAATAATTCCTTAGTTTAATTTTATTTTATGTCCCTTAGTTTCTTATTAAAAAATCATTAATTTTTTTATATTTTTTATATGCACAAAAAATTAAGAAGATATATTTTATTAAAACCTTTTTGCTCCGCATAATTTTCAATAAGTAGATTATGATTGCGCGCGCGCGTGTCTGTTATTTTCACACACAAATTTGTCGAATATTATCATTTACTATCGCATTATAAAAGAATAAAATTTTTAAGAAAATCGAAAAATAAAATGTTCTAAGTTTACAAAAAGAACGCTGACGGTTTTTTTGAGTGGTTTTTTTTTTTAAGTCTTCCTAGATATCCATATTGCGTTAGTTTCTGGGCAAATGGGTGGAAACTATGAGTCATCTCCCCTTTTACGTCACGATATAAACGCACTGTTAACGGGCGACACTCGCTATGAAAGGATACTTATTTTATATTTTTTTCTCGCTTCTCTACTTTCATTAATCCATTTGCAAGTACTTTATGCTACACGACTAAAGCAAAATGAAATGCGATATTTATTGCAATGACAAAATTGCATTACTAATACTGAAAAAGTGTTTGGTATTTGTAATTATAATTAAATACTATTACTATAATTATGATTATTATTGCTATAATATAATATAGTAATAATAATCTTATGTATAGTTTTAGCGACAAATGTATAGTTGATAACTAAAATGACTATAAAATTATAGTAATTTGAATTACTTTTATAATAGTATTTCACCATTTTTATGATTATATTAATTATAATTATTATATAACTATTTTAGTTTACCAACTGTATATATATATACATTTGTTGCTAGAAATATGCATAAGATTATTGTTACTATTATAGCAGTAATAATTATAATTATAGTAATATGTGTGTGCAATTATAGTTACAAATATCAAACATTTTTCTCTCAGTGAATGAGAACGATCAATATGATCACCCTCGAGAAATATTCTTGAGTAATAAATTATTATATTACATCTATTTAATATGATAATTACAACATCTCGATAATAATTGTACTTGATTATTATTGACGTTATAGCGACATAATTGACATAAAAAAATTTATAATCAGTTATTTTAATATGCTTTAAAAAAAGACATTAACGCGATGAAAAATATTTATATGTAGATTTCTCTTTTCGAAAAATTTCTGTCTTGCGAAATTTTACCTCTTAAGTAATCGTTTTCGATGTAGGAAAAAAAATCCATGGTTGTATTTATTATCTGATCGTCGATAACTATCTTAAATTTGGTAGAAAAATTTCAGTTTTGTAATTTGTCCACATGCGCACGCGCATTGAAAAATTGTACATGTTACGAGTACATATCGAGTGAGTGGGAAGTATTATTTTATTCTGCTATATTAATGAATTACCTTTTATAAGTAGACATCGAATTTTTTATGCAGATATTTTTTATAGATATGCACGAATATTCAAATTTACACAAATATGCAAATTTACACAAATAAATTATGCATTTTTAGAATACTTTTGCAATAAAACACATTTCTATTTTGATGTTACTTTCCAATCTGCTTTCTAACAAAATATGAAATTGCATAAGAATCCCCGATGTCTATTTACGAGTATAGAGTAATTGCACTAGGATTCCTATTTACACGCTTGTTTTAATCTTAAAATTGGAGAATTATCCATATGTAGTTCATACACATTCGTACAGTTCATCACAATCATCACGTAATTTAAACACCAGGAGATCGACGTAGCATTACCCAACAACAATTATTGTTCTTTCATTATTTTACTGTGTATGTTTTCGTTTTTCTAACTTCATTGTAAATTGAGCAAGATTGAGCAAAAAGAGATTTATATACACATTCCTTATCTTATAACATTGCCGTGTTTAATGTTAATCTCTACACTGAAAAAAAATTACTGAATTTTAATAAATATTTGTTTCTATAGTACGAACAAAATATTTACTAAATGTAAACATATATTTGTTTAATTTAAGCATAACTTTTCTATTATAAAGTAAATATTTATTTATTGTAAGTAAATTTTAGAACAGACTATTGTGTGTGTATGTGTGCGTGTACGTGCGTGTGTGATTATACTATTGTGAATAATTAGTACTATTGAAACAAATATTTATTAAAGTTTAATAAATTTTTTTTAGTGTATGATATCTATAGGATTCCCTGAGCTTTTCGTAAAAAAGCGAATCTTACAGCACACTCTTCCAAGTTTCCTTTATCATATCCGCGGCTTTCTCGCCGATCATAAATATTCCCGCGTTTACATGACCAGTAGGCATCGCAGGCATGATTGAAGCGTCTACTACTCTGAGTGCTTTTATTCCATATACTCTTAACTGCGGATCAACGACAGCAAAAGTGTCTGTCGGAGGTCCCATTTTGACAGTCCCTATTTCGTGATTCATCATGGACGGTAGATGCTTGATAGCACAACGCCAATAATCATCGGAAGCAAATTCAAATTGTTCACAACCTGGTATTTTTAAATCATGCAATCGACTGCCGTAAGCCTGAAAGGCTTTGGTTCTGGATATGTTGATGGC